GTTATAGATGCCTGTCATATACACATTTGTAGCAAGTATACATTACCTTAGAAGTGGAGAGAAAACTATGCTCAAATCAAAAACAGAAAAATACTCCAGACCAAATATTTTTTCAGGATAAAATTTGAACTTTTTAGTTATGTAGCTATCTTTAGACTAACACAGAGTTGACAGAAAAAGTGCCTCTCTTTCTCTTGTTCCAGTGAGATTCCTGCAAGACCCAACTCAAAATGCCTTTCTTTACTCCATAGCACGTTCAGTGCTCTGTCCTCTGGATGTATAGCACTGTGTAGTAACACAATGGCTTCTTCAATTAAATTGTGGTCTGAACAGTAACTATGAGTTGTAGTTTAGAAATATGTGTATCTCCCTCCTTTCCTTTTTTCTGCCTGTGCTAAACATGTAGAAGATTTTCAATATATTCTTTTTAAATTAATTCTTATGTATAATTAACAAAATAATGTTATTTTGTAGGACAACAGAACTCATGTCTAATGAATTACTATTGTTCCAGTGACTGATACAGAGTAAAAGTCACTCATTGCATTCACCCTGAGAATCACTGCTGTGTACTGTCTAGAACCCAAGGTCCCAACTCACTCATTTAATTTTAATGTTTTATCAAACTAAGGGCCTTACACATGCTTGGGCATGCTAGGCAAACACTTAACACTGAGATGTATCTCCATCCCAGAATACCGGTTTTGGAATTACACAGGAAATTTTTGGGAGTGTGTGCATGTGTGTATTTTTATGTGTGGGATGTGGAGGCCAGAGACTGAGTTGGGCATTTCTTCTCTCATTCTCTACCTTATTTTGAGAGACGTGTTATTTCACTAGTTTTACAAGACTAGCTGACCATTGTGCTCCAGGGACATTCCTGCTTCTTCCTTCCCAGCAAAAGGATTATAGGCACTTACCTCCACACCTCACTTTTACTTATTTATGTGCTGGAGATCTGAACTCAGGTTCTCATCTCCACACAGCAGACACTTTAGAGACCGAGCTATCTTCCCCTCTCAGTGTGGGGTGTGTGTGTGTGTGTGTGTGTGTGTGTGTGTGTGTGTGTGTGTGTAAGTGCACTTGCCTGAAGAGGTCATAAGAAGATGTCAGATCACTTGGGACTGTGGTTAAACTTGGGACTGTGGTTAAAAACATCTATGAGTTGTCTGATGTGGGTGCTAGGAACTGAACTGGAGTTCTCTGCAAGAATAGTATACATACTATTAATTCTTGAATGTTAAGCCTTATCTCCAATCCCAGGTCTTGTGAATCTTTCCAATTGGTACATTTCAGTTTCAGTGTATTTGTTGCAACTACAGAATTTTGCATTTGATTATACTTGTTAACAGTCTAGAGTGCTTGCTGTTTTCCCCCTTTTTGGGCCACATTGTAATTCTCTCACACCGTTATTTAGCACTGTCTACACAACCTCACTCAGTGCTGGCCAAACCTGAGTTTTAATTTTATTGGCTTGGGATAGCTTCTTAACATGAAAAGAGAGCACTGGATTTGATATCAGGATATCAGAATGATGTTATTTATGGCAGGTAATTTCCCTTTCTCTGGGCTTTCTTAACTCCATGTGTAAGACTAAGGAAGTATGTTTTTTGAGTCTTTTCTTGTTCACAATGTATGCGAGTCTATTATTATAGTACTGGTTCTTCCTGAAATGAAGAGTCATATATTAAGTAAATCTTTATAGCTAAATAGCAAACAGTAGGGCCTAGGTTAGATGATCAACAATCTCGATTTGCCCAGAATTCTTCAAGTTTCTCAAAGAAAACTCTGTGTTTCATGAATCCACAGTCCTGGGGAAATATCCACATTTGGTCTTCATAGCTCTAGGGGACTTTGAATAATAAAAGACATTATTTTTCTTTTGTTTCTGCTTTAAGTCTTTTTAAAAAGTGAATCTTTAGTAGAAAAAACTAGACAAACCCATATTATACAATAATATTTACACATTGAGTCCGTTGCTGTGAACTACCTTCTTTATGTCGGTGTTGTATTAAGCTGTGCTGTCAAGGGTAGAGATGTAGGTAATTCTGTCCCTGTACTTAGAATTGAGTAGGGAAGAGAAATGTGGGGCATACTCCTGGGGAAAACTCTTCACAGATGTTATTATGACAAAACCTATTAGAATGTTCAGGAAATTGACTGCTAGTGATTAACAGAGGACTTGAACCTTAAGGCTGCTCAGAGTCTCGATTCAGTTTGTAGGTGGCTAGGCAGAAAATTTTAGCTGTGATTTTTTTTCTTCTGCATACAGGTATGCATTTTTATTCTTGGTACTCAGTTTTTTGTTGTTGTTGTTGTTTTTTTTTTTGGTTTTTACGAGACAGGGTTTCTCTGTATTGTTTTGGAGGCTGTCGGTCCAACCCTGCCTCGAACTCACAGAGATCGACCTGCCTCTGCCTCCCGAGTGCTGGGATTAAAGGCGTGTGCCACCACCGCCTGGCTCAGTTTTCATTTTATTTTTAAATTTAAATTTAAATTAGAAACAAGGTGGCTTCACATGTCAATTCAAGGTCCCTCCCCCTTTCCCTCCCCTCCTCCTGCACCCTCCCACCAACCCCCCCTAATATCCCCTCATTTCCCTCCATAGGGGTGTCCATAGTCTGTCATTTCATCCAGGGCAGGGCCTAGACCCTCTTCAAGAGTCCAGGGTGAGAGTGCAACTCTCATTGTTGGATGGGTGCCCAAAGTCCATTTGTATATCCGGGATGAATGCTGATTTACTGCCCAAGACTCAATAGATTACCTAGGCCTCCTCACTGACACCCACATTTAGGGGGTCTTGATCAGTCCCATGCTGGATTACCAGCCATCAGTCTGGGATTCAAGAGCTAACCCTTGTCAGGTCAGCTGTTTTCTGGGGGTTAAACCAGCCCAGTCTTAATCCCTTTGCTCATCAGCCCTCCCTCTCTGTCACTGGATTTCTTGAGTTCAGCTCAGTGCTTAGCCGGGGTAGTCTGCCTCTGCTTCCATCAGCCACTGAATGAAGGTTCTGTTTCCCAGACTCTTTGGCCATGGGATTGTAGGCTGGCACTCCCCAGATCTATGTCTAAAATCCATATATGAGGGAGTACATGCCATGTTTCCCTTTTTGTGACTGCGTTACCTCACTCAGGATGGTTTCTTCTAGTGCCATCCATTTGCCTGCAAATTTCAGGATTCCATTGTTTTTTTCTGCTGAATAGTACTCCATTGTGTAAATGTACCACATATTCTTTATCCACTCTTCAGTTGAGGGGCATCTAGGTTGCTTCCAAGTTCTGGCTATTACAAATAATGCTGCTATGAACGTAGTGGAACAGACATCCTTGTTGTATGAATGGGCATCTTTTGGATATATGCCTAAGAGTGGAGTTTCTGGGTCTTGTGGTAGGTTTATTCCCATTTTTCTGAGGAATCTCCATACTGATTTCCAAAGTGGCTGTACAAGTTGGCACTCCCCACTAGCAGTGGAGAAGTGTTCCCATTTCACCAAAACCTCTCCAGCATAAATTGTCATTGGTGTTTTTGATTTTAGCCATTCTGACAGGATTAAGATGGTGTCTCAGAGTTGTTTTGATTTGCATTTCCCGGATGGCTAAGGATGTTGAGCACTTTCTCAAGTGCCTCTCAACCATTTTAGACTCCTCTATTGAGAATTTTCTATTTAGTTCTGTAGCCCACTTCTTAATTGGATCCTTGCACAGTTCCTAAATGTCCAAGTGCCATGGAAACCACGGGGGAATCAGAAAACGGAGAGGGGCGTTAGTTTCAAAGGAAACCAAATTCTCCAAGACATGAAATGGGAAGTGGGAAAGGGTAAAGTCAAGGGAACCTGGGAAATGAAACTACTATTTAAGAGGGCCATGAAGTTTTTCTCTCTCGGTTTCCCCTCTTTATTAGGGTTACCCCCACCTATCTTCGTGTTTCCATAGTCTGGTTTGACACTTACCATTACATTCGAGCATTTGAGATGCTGTAGTGGAAAAGGCATAGGGGTTGGAGCTCAGAGGCCTGTACTACTTACTAGCTGTGCTAAGATTTTGCTTATTGTAAAATAAAGACATACTCATCTGTGTGTGTGTGTGAGAGAGAGAGAGAGAGAGAGAGAGAGAGAGAGAGAGAGAGAGAGAGACATAAGTCAAGACATTAGGCCCTCTCAGGGCCACAAAGACATGGTTGTCTCATGGCTTTTCCTTCTCTGTGTGCCATGCAGGCAGTATGGCTAACAGGGTAGAGGAACTTGTAAATGTGGGAGAGGTGACTCCTAAGTATATGTGTGAGGATTCCTACCACTCTGCTCATATGCCACAGTAAGAGCAGTTAGTAGTTAGATCTTCTCGGATAAGTTCTGGTGCTTCGGGTAATAAACCATGCATACTCATTTACAGGGAGGGTAGGTCACCAATGGAGTCTCATTACCTGTTTTGGTGCTCTTCTTTGTTTGGTTAGCTTCTGAAGTCCAAGAAGTTTCAAAGCTGCTTATGTCTTTGCCAATGCTGTCCTTTGTCAGAAATCCCCCTCCTTCACCCCTGTCCTGAGAATCCAGCAGTCTTTCCATTTTCTCCAAGTTTCTTCAAAATGCTTTTCACAACATTAACATTGCTTACCCCAGCATCTATTACCCAATCCGAAGTCCAAGCCTTTATGACTCTTCCTCTGCCTACATTACCATCCTCTGACCTGTCATTTGGGGATGCCACAGGACTCCACTAAAACCTTAAGCCTTTCTCAAGTCCCTCCCTCCCCTCTCCCTCCCTTTCCCCTCCCATTCTCCATTTCTCAATTCTTCCTATTTCCTCCCTCACTCCTTCATTCCTCCCACCCCTTGATTATATCCACCCTCCTTCCTTCATCCTGCTCACATTTGCATCCCTCCCTCCCACCCTCCCTTCCTCCCTCCCTTCCTCCCTCCTTCCCTCTCCCTCTCTTCTTCCCATCCAATTACTGGTCCCTTACCCCTTTCCTTAGCTAACCCAATAAATCAGCATAAACACAAGCAATAGTTGCCATTGTTTATTGATTATTTAAAAATATTACTTGAAAACGGTTTTATTGAAAAAATTGAAAATATGTGATAAAGTAATCTTGATTAGAGAAAAATAAAAGTCAGTCTAACAGCTACACTTTTCAGTATTAGTTTCTAATATCTATTCTCATGCATACTGTTAGTATTATTTGTAATTAAAATAACCCCACATAATGCAGGGCTCAAGGAGGGAGGCATGCAAGATTGGTGGGGAAAAGCAGCTCAAAGTCGTCAGGTTCAGTCCATCGTCCAAGAGGCAGCGTGGTTGTACAGGTAGCCTTAGTTCATAACCAGAGACAGGTTCAGTGGAAGATTCAGAGAGCAGCAAATGCTGATGACAGCTGAGGTAACAGAAGACAGATGGCCAGAAGTCACTAGGACCCACCATCTAACCAGCAATTATTTCGTCACGCCGTCTTCGATTCCACCTGTGCCTGAAGCAATTGTAATGACAATAATGTGATGGAAAGGACACAGTTCGGGTACTCCATTCGATGTTTGGGTCGTGCGTCTCAAGCCAGTGGATTCCAAGAATCAGAGGGTAACGTGGAGCGTGAATAATGTCAAACTGGAGCTCTTCAACATGATTTCCGATTTTGACTTCAACAGGTGGTGTTTCTTTGGTTACAGGTCCATTAATCAGTGGACGCCCATCGACTGTTTCGAGCATGAGAGGGAAGATGTTATTGCGGATTGGTATCTTCTCTCGAAGAACCACAGAGCGGTCGATGCTGTTTCTGTAGGAGCCTGAATCCACCATTGCTTGCTCAAAGAACTGTCGTCTTCCAAGGCGAATCTCAACAGTTAGCCATAGGGTACGAGACATAGATATTGGAAGGGAGGGGGACGCGTATTTGTAGATTGGCCCGCCCGGGATCCCCCTTACCGCCGGGCCTCCATGTTTCCCGCCTGCTGGGCACGATGAGGCTTGACAGGACAATCTCTGGCAAAATGACCAGGATGGCCACAGTAGAGGCACAAGTGGCCTTCACGGCGTCGGGCCCGTTCTGCCTCACTGAGGTGAGGGCGGTTACTCGTAGCTTGAACAGCCTGGTTTTCAGTTGGTGGACTCTCGGACCCATTTTCCTCTTCAGAGGATGATGAATCGGAGTTAGCCTTCCCATCTGTCTTCTCTTCTAAGGTGACACACTCAATGATCACATCAGATAGGTTGGTGGCTGGACTTGTGCAAGACAGTTCATTTTGAATAGAACTGGCAAGCTCTTCTTGGTATTGGATGGGGAATGTGCTTTCATCCAAATTTAGCTCTTGAGCAATGAGATGGAAGCGAGTTGCATATCTATGGACAAGGCCTTCCCCTTGGCGCAGCTGAGGGAGGCCATGGTTAGCTGCTTCCATGCTTTCTGGATTGTCAAAAGTATCTTGGAGCACTCGAAAGAACCTTTCAAATTGTTCCAGCAGGGGGCTTTGGATATCTGCTAAGGACTGGAACAGCCTTCCTGCCTCACCAGAGAAGAAGCTGCCAACAAAGCTTATTAGAGCTGCTTCAGTGGGATACAAGTACCCTCTGGTTCTCAGGTAACTGTTCAACTGAACTAAAAACTCAGAGAGTTTCTGAGAATCCCCATTGAAAGACAAAGGGTCCTCTAGGGGCAAAGCTACAGCATCTAATCTGCTGTTTGCCTGTGGAAATGCAGAAGCTGTTGCTGTTTCCACAACTATTAGGCCCTCGAGGGACTCCTCAGGTACTGAGAGTTCTAGGAACTCCTCGGCATCTGAGGGTTCCAGGGGCTCCTGGGGCACCTGAGGCTCCAGAGGCTCCTGGGTAGTTGGATACTCAAGGGGCTCCAGCTGGGATGAGGTCTCCTGGTATTCTGGAACCTTCTGAGACTCCTCATCATTTGTAGGGTTGTGGAGCTGTGAATTCTGGAGCTCCTTGGTGCCTGGGGTACCCTGGGTGTCTGTGGGCCCTGCATCCCAGACTGCTGGGAGATCATAATCCTGGGGCTTCTGGGTTGCTGGGTACTCCAAAGCCTTCTGGATCTCCTGGGGTTCCTTGCCTGCTGGGGGCTTCCAGGCTGAGAGCTCCTGGAACTCTGAGGGACTGTGAGCCTCCTTGGCCTTTGTAGGCTCTTGGAGTCCCCAGGCTGTTGTGGATTCCAGGGTCCCTGGGGGCTCCCAGGACTCATCGACCTCTGGAGGCTCCTGGGGTTCCCAGTTCTCCTTGAACTTTGGGGGAGGACAGGGCTCCTTGATCTCTGGGGATCCCCTGAACTCTGTGATGACTGAGGGTCCCACAGGCTCCTTGATCTCTGGGGGCTTCTGGGGCTCCTTGATCTCTGGGGGCTTCTGGGGCTCCTTGATCTCTGGGGGCTTCTGGGGCTCCTTGGTCTCTGGGGGCTTCTGGGGCTCCTTGATCTCTGGGGGCTTTTGGGGCTCCTTGGTCTCTGGGGGCTTCTGGGGCTCCTTGATCTCTGGGGGCTTCTGGGGCTCCTTGGTCTCTGGGGGCTTCTGGGACTCCTTGATCTCTGGGAGTCCCATGAGCTCTCTGATGACTGAGGGATCCCTGGGCTCTTTGATCTCTGGACACCCCCTGGGCTCTCTAATAGCTGAGAGTTCCCTGGCCTCCTTGATCTCTGGGGGTCTCCCGAGCTCTGTGATCTCTGAGGGTTCCCAGGGTTTTTGTGAGGCTCTGGCTGCTGGAGGTTCCAGTAGCTCTGGGGACTCTGGGGACTTTTGGGCCTCTGAGGACTTTCGGAGTGATTTATCCTCATTGGCAGCTCCGGATTTCTGGAGCTCTGGTATCTGGGCCTGGAGGGCAGCATTTTCTTCCACGAGCCTCTTCACTTGAGCCTGCAGAATTTCATTCTCCAATTTCAGAGCAACATAGGAAGCTGCTAAGTCCTCTACCATCTTTTGAGGAAACGGGCCTGGTTTGGCAGTTTGCTACCAAGAGAGACTGGGTAGCTGCCTGTGAGGTCTTTGCTGAAAGCGACTCACAGGCAGACGTCAGGCTCCGTGAGTATTCCAAGGGGTGGGGATTTGGACCCAGCCAAAGCTGATTACCAAGAGGTCACTGGGAGCCTCCGGAGCTCAGCACAGGGAGGTGTGAGCCACACTGTGAAGAGAAAGGGAGCTGGGGATCAGAAACTGTGGAAAGCACTCATTCAGTGTAAATCAACAGAATCTGTCCAACTATGCTGGGTTTCTTTTACCACAAGCTCATGTTCATGAACTCGGGTGTATATACTTGCTCTGACCCCATGATATTTCACTAGCACATGACCCAGACTTTACATGTCAACTTGTATTCTTTTGAAACTTAACATTGTATCAGCAACAATTGCCCCATATTTCTGTGTTTCACATAGTTTTTAATTTCTAGTGTCTGCCCAATATCTCAATGTAGCATTTGGATGTTAACAGCTGCTTTCAGCGTCCAAATCGGATGTTTAGAGTGATATGGGGATTTTAGGTTCTGTGCTGGGGCCAGTTCAAGAAATATTTTTGAGTCACTATCATAGGAGTTATCAGGAAACTCTTTCTCACACCTTAGAAATCTTACCACACAAATAACCGCACACATCCAAACACAGGAGAAAGCAAGCAAAAGTTGAGTAAATAATAGATACACACACACACACACATATATATACGTATATATATATTGTATATATATCCATCCAGCTAGCACATGTGTATTATTTATAAAATTCCTTAAAATAGTTAACAAAATTCTCTTTATAAATGTACGTTACCATTCAGAGATGTAGGGCTGGAGCTCTGCCTGTCTGCGTAGCCATCGCTGAGGAGAGGAGTGTGTGAATGGCTGTGGAGGCTTGCCTTTTCTGCACACACTGAACTCAAACAAACACACCCACTCCCAGAACACGTTCCAACTCTCCTCCGTAACGTAGCTATTTTGAGTATGGAAGGGTGTTTTTTTTTTTCTTTTGACAGTACCTCACAGTTCAGAGCTAGAAGGAAAGTAGGATGCTGCACCGATGTGAGGCAGCTTCATTTATTCAGTCCTTGATTACTTTAATAAATATTTGGCCAGGAAATTGGTAGTAATACCACTACCCTTGTGAAAAGTTGCAAACATTTCTGAATGACCACAGTGGTTTGGGATTTGATTTTTTATGTCTGTCTCACGTAACTTACCAGTACTCTATCCACAGAGGGACGTTTGTGTTTAATTCTCACTTAGAAAGCAAACTACAGTCCCTCAATCGTTTCTCCTGCCTACCTACTTAGTCTCAAGGGTCTCTCTTTGAAATATTTTCTTAGAATTTTTACCATGGACAGATCTAGGCAACTTAGAGTAAGGATGCCAGAGAGGCGAACTTTTGATGGGCACTTGCCAACAACCCAGTAAAGCCCTTGACTGATTCTGAATATACCTGCCCAGGGTTCTCCTGCTCCTTTGAGCTGCTCAGGTAGCTCCTGGAAGCACACAGGTACCCCGCTTTTACTTCTCTTTTGCAAAATGATTCTGCTTCATATTTGACTTTGTCTTCTCATGCCAAATCACAGTTTTACTCTGGGCACTGACCATGTGGCTGTTTTAAGCAAGAATCAGGGACAGCTATTTTAACTGCAGGAATGAGTTATATAAAGCTACTTCATATCACATACCAATTCAGCCATGGTCCCAAGTTTCTTAAAAATCATCAGCTCCACTTATTAGCAGAGTGGGACAAATCCTGGTGATGGAATATGCTTAAACCATAGCAAGTTGACTACTTAGGCTAGATGAATCTGAATGCAGATGCTTTAAGAAGGAAAGGAAAATCATTTGCAGACTGAATTTGTTCTCTATACCTTGCAATTATTTTAAAAGTAGACCACACATAAAAATATCAGCATTAGCAGACAATTTATTCTATTTGTACTACATTTTCAGAACACTGAAGCATTCTTTCCCACTGAGAAGGAAAGTCACAGTGGATATTGCCTTCCCCAATTAACAAAAACAGGGAGGCAGTTATAGTTAGGACATTGTTTTATTTTCTTATCATTAGTAAGTGGGTGATTTGTGGCATAGTTTAACTTATTTCATTTGTCTGATGGCCCTAATTAGACAAACCAGCTAGTTTCACTGCTGTGACATCATGTAGCTCTTCGGTAGCTACTGAGAATTTTAAAGTAATCTGTCTCCAGACTAAGGTTCTTCAAAGTGTTATGCTCTCTAGAATCTTGGATTTTTTCTTCATATTTAATACTCATTTGCTATGAAGCAATTCTCCACACCATAACATTTATGCCTGTTTATATTAAATTTACACAATTTGGTAAATATTTTAGTCCTTCTAAAATTTAGAGTCCAACCCTCAGTTTATGCAACTGTGAAATGGAGCTAATAACAGTATTTAACTTTGTAGGGGTAGCACAAATAATCAGTCAAATGTCCATGCATAGTGGTGAATGTCCATAATCCAAAAAGGCAGGAGACAGATGCAGGGGTGTCAGGAGTTCAAAACCATTCTCAGCTACATAGTGAGTTTCGGCTATGTGAGACTCTATCATATCACACACACACACACACACACACACACACACACACACACACACACTGCAAACAATGAATGAATGAATGAAATAATGTGCGTAAAATGTTTACCAGAGTAAGACAGGCAATCACGCTTAATAAAAGTTAAGAGCAATAAGAAACACTGTACCAGCAGTGACAATTTTAATTTATTCTTTCTAATCATCCTTGAATTATTGAGTTGGATATGTAAACTTTCCAGAATAGTTAGTTTGAGCAAGGACTCTCATATGAAGAAATCTCCAGGTCATGAATTTTACAGCATTAATATTTCACCATTCCGGAGCCTTTATCTTTCCTTTCTGGTTTGGTCATGGATCATTTACTTTGCCAAATAATTCTCTTGAATTAGAACTGGAGGCACCTAAGTGGGAAGATGAGGTGATTAACATGGGGATTGTGGAGAAGCCAAGATAGATATTTTAAAAGTTCATGGACTAAAGCAGCAGACAGTGCCTTGCCTGGAGGCATATTTATTCAGTGGGTAAACACGGGGACCTTTCTTCCCTGACTCCCCTTCACTAAAGAGCAAAGTCCAAATTTCAACGTCCTTAAGTACAAGTTCCAAATGGCCTAAACATAGAGAATTGTTCTCTTTTGAGTGGTAAAAGAAAAAAAAGAGCTACACAGACTTTTGTCAAAATGCCTAAAGTGGTTTTAATATCCTGAATTAGTCAAGTAAGAATAGGGAAGTAATCCCATCCAAACTTTCATCATGTTCCCTACATTCTAATCCTTCTTCCACTCACAACATGATGGAGTTTATGGAGTCTTTAGGATGGTTATGAAAACATTTTGAGTAAGTGAAGTTTTGTTAACTAAGCAAATGAATATTTCAGGAAAAAGAAGACAAATCTGTTCACTTAACAGACATACAAAGCCTGCACAGTAATAAGAAATGTTCATTCTCAGTTATGTTAATAAGTTGCATATGCTGATTGTTAGCTTAGGAAGAACGAGAAGGGAAAGGTTGAATGCGATGAAGTTCTACTTTGTACATTCCAGCGTGAAGCGTGATTTTATTTTGTTGTAAATGTACAATCTGAAACATTTTAGATCCCCGCCAGGCTCTTTCTCCTCCAAACTGGCTGGTCTGCAGCTTTAAGTAATGCAAACTCCTGCTCTACTATTAACCCTGTGGAGAACCAACAGGGCAGGTTACCCCACAGGTCTCTGGCACAAAGCCCAGCTCCCCCTTGGGGGCAGTCCCACCCTGGTGTGTGTTGTGCTCAACATGTTATTTCTATGGTTACGTTATAGCTTGCAGTGCTTTCTTGAATTTAACCCCTTCACGTGCTTAGGACAGAGAGAAGCCTTTTGGTTGTCAGCAACACACCATAATGCACCAAGACGATGGTAATCACTGATTCCTTTGGCTGTTGAAAATCCAAGAAAGAGTTTCTTCCTCAACATGAATGGGATTCTGAGCTCTGGCTCATAGGGTGAAATGGGTTCCATCTCAGGTACTCTCTGGGGAAGTCAAAATTTGTTGTACTTAAGTATCCCTTAGTGACATTTCCCATTTTCCCATTTTACTTCTTGCCTGCTTCTAATCAGATGTCACCTGGGAAGGGAAAACTCTACTGCACAAGGTTTTAAAGGGAAATTTCTTCAGGATCTTGGAATTTTGTAGGATATTTTGAAAGAATGAAAACCCTTGAAAATCTTTCTGTTAGAAAAGATACTATAGGGTAAAGAGAGCATTTTAAAAGGCATACATACACGTACCACTGAATGGACTCAGAAGTCTGTATTTATATTTAAATAAAAATAATCATAGAAAAGGAGACCACGAATTTGAAAGGGAGTAAGGGGAGAAATATGGAGGAGAAAGGGGGGGAAATGCTGTAATTTTATTTTAGTTAAACTTTTAAAAAATAAGAATAAAGATGGATATAGTAGGGCTGGAGAGATGGCTCAGCGGTTAAGAGCACTGACTGTTCTTCCAGAGGTCCTGAGTTCAATTCCCGGCAACCACATGGTGGCTCACAACCACCTTGAATGAGATCTGGCACCCTCTGCTGGCCTGCAGGCAGAAGACTGTATACACAATACATAAATAAAAAAAGATGGATATAGTATAGCATCTAGCATTAGTTAACATGTTTGTTTCAGGGCTGGAAGGAAAGGGGAAGAGAGAGGAAAAGAAGATGAGAGAGTAAGTTTACAAACAATCTTTTAAAACTCAACAAATGTAAGCCTGGCAGTGGTGGCACATGTCTTTAATCCCAGCAGCTGGGAGGCAGAGGCAGGCGGATCTCTATGAGTTCAAGGTCAGACTGGTCTACGGAGTGAGTTCAAAGAGTCTCCAAAGCTACACAGAGAAATCCTGTCTCAGAAAAACAAAACAAAACAACAACAAAAACTCAACAAATGTATACCTTGGTCACTTAAAGACAAAACTTCCAATTGTGCAGTTTGCCATTTTTAAAATTACATAAAAGGAGATTGTATTTGTTCAGTGTTTAGGCTTGCAAGCAAAGACTTTTTTTGAGACAGTATTTCTCTGTATAACATCCCTGGCTGACTTGGAACTAGCTGTGTAAACTAAACTGGCCTTAAACTCAGAAATCTATCTTCCTCTGCCTCCTCGATGCTGGAATTAAATGGGGGTGCCACCACCACCCAGCCAGGCAAAGATCTTAATCACGCTATGAGGGTTATATGTTACAAGTTTGTGGAGTGTTGAAAAAGAGGTGTGTATCAATGCGGCTGGAAAGGAAAGTGGGTGTTTAGGAGTGGAAGATTCAGGAGTGAATGGGTAGCAAGGACTGGGAATACCCAGCTCTCACAGTTTTGGGGTTGTGTTGTGTCAACCGTATTAAATAGTACTTGTGAGAGTGGTTTTGGAAAACATGTGTTTAGAAAGAACATAGGCTTTGAAGTAAGGCAGGTCCAATTCCCAGATATGCTTTTTTTTCTAGTAATCTTGGCCAAGTAATCTAGATTGTCTGATATTCATTTTACTCATCTGGAAAGCCGGAGAAAATAATAGGTAATTCCTGAGTTGCCATGAAGAATAGAAACAATGCTAGTACCTAAACATAGACTTTTGCTGAGCTGTAGTGACAATAAAAATCATATTTCTAGTTCAAAGTATTGTCATTGATTTTCATGTCAGTTTATCTAGCGTATCTAAACAAAATTCCCCTCAACTGTTTATATATAAACTGAATATATGATTACTCCAATATAATTTGCTGTCCATACAGTAAAGCCATATTCTTTCTTTCTCATTCTCTTTCCATAAATAATGATTGAATACTCAGGTACTTAATTGTGCTCTGCAGCAGTTGTCTACATGCATGCTTCTCCTCTCTCTCTCTCTCTCTCTCTCTCTCTCTCTCTCTCT